TAGCAACAGCAATAAGGCATATACAGTATACTGCTTCACAGTATTTTATAGCCCTCTCTAAGCGGTTTACAGAGTCAGTATATTGCCCCCAACAATCTGGCTCCTCATTTTACAAATCTCGGAAGGATGGAAGGCTGAGTCAACCTTGAGCCTGGTGAGATTCGAACTGCCAAATTGTAGGCAGCAGAAGTAGCCTGCATACTGCATTCTAACCACTGTGCCACCAGGGCTCTCTTGGTCATCCTGATCTTACTCCATTGCTAGTGGTACTAGCAGGTTTTCCAATTGTGTATGCATACTTATTGTGTGCATGTATATGTGTGTAAGGATGTATACATGTATGCATGTATATATAATACATACATACCAAGATAAAGAAAAACGGACAGACTCTGGAAGAGTGCCTTATTATAACTCAGTATAGATATGTTTAAAATTGTACTTGCAGTCTATTTATTTGTTCTTCATTGTCTTTCTGTGAAGCTCATATTATTAGGAAGTGAGAGCCAATGAAGAATAAGTTGAATGAGGAATGGTGAGACCCAGATTAGTTGCTTTTTAAATAATAATAATAATAATAATAATAATAATAATAATAATAATAATAATAATAATAATTTAGATTGGAAGACCACCTGATTCCAGAAAGAAATTAATTCCAATTCACACAAAGAAAACCAATCAAAAAAACAAAAAATTCTGTGTCCAGGAAAGTAAAACAACAAAAATACAATTAAAATCACCACCATCAACAACAAACTAACAAAGGCTCAGCATCTATCCTAACTTCAGACCCTGGAGCAGAGCAATGTTTTAATGACTTCTGGAACAACTCTAGAATCAGTCTGTACAAATCTTGGGAGACGGGGATTGTTCAACAGAAGGCATCTGCAGCATGCACATTCTGCTTAAACTCCCTGATTGAGTAGATAACCAAGCTCTGTACCATGTGTAGTATTATAGCTGATAACCAGTACTCCTTGAATTGCATCCAGAAAGTAGCTAGTAACCAATGTATCTCATAAATCAAGAATGACACATGGTTCAACATGACTTTGAAGTTCTCATTCAGTTATGGAAGCTTAAAAGCCATGTAATAGCCCCGGTGGTGCAGTGGTTAAAGTGCAGTACTGAAGGCTACTTCTGCTGATCACCGGCTGCCAGCAGTTTGGCAGATCAAATCCCACCAGGCTCAAGGTTGACTCAGCTTTCCATCCTTCCGAGGTGGGTAAAATGAGGACTCCGATTGTTGGGGGCAATATGCTGCCTTTGTAAATCGCTTAGAGTGGGCTGTAAATCACTGTGAAGCGGTATATAAGTCTAAGTGGCATTGCTATTGCTATTAAACAGAAACTTTAGATCAATATTGTCTCCAATCTATTTTCCAAACTGAAGCCAAACAATGGTGGTTTGATTGCAAAGATTTAAAGAGAAAAATAAAATCTAATGCTCTCTGTCTCCTGCTCCTCTCCCTAGTCTGACATTTTATGTAAACAATATACGTTTTCTTCCTTTTGCTATAATTGCTATCACATCGAGCTTCGTACAGCTCTGAAACTGTGAAGAAGCAGGTTGAAGTTTGTGAACTCTGGAATTGGATCAGAGCAGGTTACTGTAGACTGTAGGCTCTACCTCAAGGAAATGGAAATGGTTGATGATATTTACAATTCATTTCATAACATAAGAGCTATGGCCTTCCATATATTGGATTCCAGGTCCAATCAGTCACATCCAGCTTAGTCATTAATGAGAGAGATACCACAGATTTCCTCAATAACGAAACATATTCTGCCATCAGCAGATGTCCTGTTTGAAGCCAGTGATCAGGAATTTCAATCCTTAGTCCATTTTTCTTAACAGAAAGAGCACATTTTGAAATGATAATGCTCAAACTCCCCACCAACACAGTTGATGAAATTGCTATCTTGATATAATCCTATCAACATATTTGAAAAGCACCCATTTCGGGAAGGCTGACTTAGAATATTGGCAAGATAAGCACTCAGGTTTGGAAGGATTTAGAATATAAAGTGTCCTATGAAATTAGAAGAACTGCATAATTCCTCCACCAAATAGCTAGATAAAACCCGAAATAATGCAAGAATGCAAACTTTCATCTTCCAATGCAATACAAGAAGGAATAAAAGAAAAAAAAAGCAATAGGAATGATAAAAAATAAAATTCATATTCATAATAAAAATCTAGAGATCAAAATCAAAGGTGCTCATGAAATAACGTTGTTCTGGAGTTGTAATTTTAAAACCTGTTTTTTTAAATCAGAACAGTAATTTTGGAGAGCTTGGCTTATGTTTAAAGGGCTATTGGAAAAAATAACTAATTTCATACATTAGCCCGCATTTCTTGTAAAGTTCACCGACATTGCTGACACCGTTTTCATGTTCCATTCCACCTGGCTTCTGAGATTTATATACAGTTAATTTCAGAACCAGCTTGTGTGCAGACTCCTCGATTCATTCAGTTAATCTTCTCCTTGAATATAAGATACACGCATGCATGACTGACTATGCACATAAAAAGCATCCCCTTTAATTTAATGGAAAACACAGCCATTTAATTTCAGCTCCTTTGCTGTCCTGAAAAATTCCCAGATGAGATATGCACATCGAGGGAAAACAGATTGCCTGGAAGCAAGGTAATTAATTTCAGGAAAAGTCTGGGCCCGTTTCATAGCCTCGCTTTGATAAAGATAAGGAGATTCACATCTGGAACTCAGTATCCATTGGTGTCCTTAAGTTTTGAAGCACTGAACAACGCCCACCTGGTAGCAATCATTAAATGGAGCCTCCAGCTAGACTATCAAGTGCTTTAACTAAAAGAAATGGCAGTAAATTCTGCACAGAGTTGCTTGATTAAAAAAAGAGAAGGGACAAAGTGTTTGGGTATGTTATCATTTCACACATGCAGGTGCTAGTTTTTTTAAGGGTATGGTAAAAGGTAAAGGTTCCCCTTGCACATATGTGCTAGTCTTTCCCGACTCTAGGGGGGAGTGCTCATCTCCATTTCAAAGCCGAAGTGCCAGCGCTGTCCGAAGATGTCTCTGTGGTCAAGTGGCTGGCATGACTAAACATCAAAGGCGCACGGAACACTGTTACCTTCCCACCAAAGGTGGTCCCTATTTTTCTACTTGCATTTTTACATGCTTTTGAACTGCTAGGTTGGCAGAAGCAGGGACAAGTAATGGGCGCTCACCCCGTTATGCAGCACTAGGGATTTGAACCACTGAACTGCCAACCTTTTGATCGACAAGCTCAGCGTCTTAGGCACTGAGCCACCGCATCTCTATTAGGGTATGGAGAGACGTGTAAATCAAACTCAATGGCTTTGTGTGCTTTACTGGAGCAGAATAGTTACTTCCCTATAACTGTTCTTATCATCTATCTCATTCTCTGTTTCAGAGGCAATTCCAGTCCAGTCTTTTTTTCATGATTTTTACTGCAGGCTAGGTAAATGTATCAATTCTGAACATTCAAGGACATAGAGTGAGAAACCTTTATTCTCAAATGCTGGTCTTTTAAGCTAAAAATAAAGTTTTACTTCCTTGGATGCATGGCATAACTGAAATGGAAAGTACTTCTGTTTATTTAAAACATTTCTATTCCACGTTTATCTTAAAGAACTGAAGGCTCCTGACAATAAAAAAAAATCTTGTCACCTCCCTTTATCGTATGCACTGTAATCATAGACTCATTTTCCTGGAATAGGTGTCAAGGAGAGAGAAAAATTATGAGGATTTTGAGGAAGTGGTAAGAGTTTCAGTTTAGTCACAGGGCATTCAGGGATTGCATTTTCCTCACTTTTCCAAATGGCAGGACTTTTTATACAGTCCTCCCTTCATGATTCTCATCAGCCCAGCCAGCATTCTTCTTTACCTATGCATGCAAAGAAAAATACTGGATGAAGATAGTGTGAATTCTGAGGGATTTCTGAGGGTGAGAAAGATTTGTAGATTATTTCAGTCCAAAGGTTCTTAGTTCTGGTACTCTAGAAGTCAAGCAGGCATAAGTTGGTTATCATCATAATAGCTCATTGACAATATGCAAGAGAAAGGAGAGATAATAATGTTCTTCATATTCAGCTCACATCTCATCTACTCTAAACAACAAATCAGACATGTGCCCATCTATGTGTATTACAGCCACTATTACCTGTAACATGGTTGTCACGATCTCACAAGTCACTCTGGAATCCACCCCCAGAGTGTGAGAATTCCCAAGATCAAAACCTTTGGGGCTCCAATACCAGCCCTGAGATGCCATCCAGGTGCTTATAGGTAGTCCAGACTGTCACTATGGCCCAATTTAACAGACACATATAATAGTCATCTCCAGGCTAGTGTTAGTGATTGCAATGGCCCCGGAACAATTGAAGCAACATCTCCCCTTCACTCTTGGCAATGTGGCTTACCACATGTAACAATGCTATACATCTTAAATTGCAACCATGTGCAAACTTCCCCAGCAGTAAATTCCATTAAACTCAGCTGAGTCCCATTTTAAGTGAACATGCATGGGATTGTACTGTACCAGTTTCAAAGTACTTCATTCTCTTTGCTGTTGTTATATTTCTTCTATTTTGCCACAACACTAAATATGGAATATTAAAAAGAATCCCTAAAGTATTATCTGCTTTACAGCCTGATTCTATTTTAGAAGTCTGTGACAATCGGCTATTGAGCTGTTCAGGAACTCAATAGCCTTCATAACTCAACATTTTTCTTCTGTAGTCTTCTTTCACACACACACACACACACACACACACACACACACACACACACACACTTATAGTCAGCATCAACATTTATGCCTGCCAAGTAAAAACGAATGCATCATCTCTTGCAAAGAATTTCATATTAACACTGTCTAGACATAGTAGAGATGTAAGCAACATATTGAAAATAAAAGTGTGCAAACATGTATCAAAACAATGCACTGCACTGTTGATAATTATTTACAAGTCAGAAAGATATCACATATGCCTACCAGTCACTTTCCCTAAGGTCAGTGATTTGATGGCTCTGAATTCAACCTCGGAGGAAAAGTTGTGCTTGACTTTGAGAACCTGGTCAATCTGGAAGGGAAGCAAAAATGCATGGTATTAACAATACTTTCATAAGCAAGTAAATGCTGCGTACTCTTTTGTTGATATGTAATTTCCCCCCCCCCATTTATATTTCACTCCAACACGAGGCTCTTGTCAGGGAAATCTTCCCCATGTTTGCACAACACTGAGATTTTGAGAGCAGCTCAATAATTCCCCAAGCTTGTAGCTGTCAATTTTATCATTCCAATATCTGTGCAGGTCAGACAATGTTGGGAAGCTGCCCAATTTGTTTTCCTAGGACTCAATTTAGCCTGGATTCTTAATCAGCTTGATGCTGCTTCTGTTTTTAGTTTCTTATAATTATGCATATTCCTATGCCAACTCATACACAATAGCAGAACAGCATTTGAGAAATGGAGGACTGCAAATCAACAGGTGTTTAGAATTCATTGTTCTTTCATTTTTTATGTGTCAAAGCACAGAACTATTAGAATAATTCACAATCAGCCTTCTGACCAAAGATGCCTTATATTGTAATTAGCACAACAGACAGAATGATGTTATTTTGGGAAATTCAGTTTGAAGTCATTAGCACAAACCTACTGAACTGTATTCTCTGGAATGCAGGATGAGCCAAATACAAAATACGTCTTCATGAATAATTCCCTAAACAAGGCACAAGATCCTTTTGACATTGTAATCCTTACTCAGCCTATAACTTTAGCTTTAACTTAAACATATGATGAAGCTCATTATATATTTCTTTATTGCATTCTAGATCAATAATCAACTGGTGTGATATCAGGAGCCAATTTTTTTCCTTTTTATACTTTTTGATGTTTTTCTATCATTCTTCCTTCAGATTCTTCCCATATCTGTAACCATGGCATGTACCAACATGCTCCTTTTGTTGCTGAGCTTTCACACTCCAAATATAAACAAGAGCAAGTTCTATTCTCTGGCTTTCTTCTACCTTAGTAATGCATCAAAGTATGTGTTTCTAGTCTTCTCTACTCCTTGGTATGAAGAATTTAAAGAACAACTTTACTACAAACTTTACTAGGATCCCATCAGTTTTTATAAGGGAGGGAGATACAAACTTTATTTATTTCCATATGTGTTTTCATTCTCCAATATCTGCAGCCTATTATTTTAGGTATGTGGATGATACCGTTCTATTAGCAGAAAGTGACCAAGGCTTACAAGTCTTACTTTAGCAAATATTTCAATTGACTTAATCTTATAGGCTAATTATAAATTGGAATAAAACAAAATTAACAAACATCAGTAAATATTAAATCCCTAAATTGAGTATTATGCTAACAGAGAAAGAAGTGGAGCTCATGATTCTCTCTGAGCTTGGTTGTCTGTTTGCATATGTTTCAAATGTCTCAAACAAACAACTGCAGAAAGCACAAAGAACTCCTCCACAGTTCAACCTTGATCTGTATGTTCTCTTCTAGAGAAAAAAGTTCCAGGAGTGATGCATATTGAATGATATGGCATCAAAGCATGGAGATAAGGAACAGAAATGAACAAAGGAGACCAGTTCTTTGAAAAATAAATACATTTAGGATTTCTTAGCTGATTATATGCTGTTATGATTTACTAGTTCTTTTGCATGGAGTAGAAGCATGGGCAATGACCCAGATAATATGGTATGAACAATTAAAACTCTGGATCATCCTTCTTTCTTGTTATTTCCAGTCTTAATGTACAGTAGTGGCTAAAATTGTGGAAACCTTTAGGGAAAAGTATATTTTTGAGGCTTGATGGCTAATAACACCACTTTTTTAAAAAAGTTTCAAGATAATCATATTCCGACTAAAGAAACCTGTTAGTCAGAAGTGACCCAGCAATAAAACCCAGTTAATAGAAGCAATCACTCAATCTTGGTTTCTCATTATAACAGCTGCAGAACTAAAAGATTTGGTTCACTCCATGACATTGTAAGGGCATAATTCATGCTAAAGGTTACCCAACTAAGTATTAACTGATGTGATAATTGTTGTATCTCATTTTTTCTATGTGTTTCACTTTTCTTCTTTATACTGTAACTGCTATTCTAATAGCAAATCCTTCATGAAAGTTATTGCATTACATTCTTGACTAAATTATCTTTCCATTGATATATAATTTTATGGTACTACTCCAAAAAAAGTGGTGTTAGCTAGTTTTAGAAAATATACTTTTCCCAAAAGGTTTCCATAATTTTGGCCTCTACTGTAGTTGCTGCAGTCAGAAGACAAAATCCTCACTTGGCTTGGCAAGGCACTTATCTGATCATCCCACTGCTGTAGCTACTTACAGGTCCCAACAGCAACTCTAACAAATATGGGCATGTGCTTTTCAGGACAGGTATCAAATTTATCTTTTCATTTGATTACTAAGAACAGTAAAAGGATTCAGGAATGTTTGGGCCACAACAAATGGTATATTAGATACCTGAATAGTCAGCTCTCTTCCATCTCTATTTATCTTCACGCTGTGTAGTTCTCTGTTAGCAAAGTTTCCAGAATCAATTGTGAAAATAAGAGATTTGTCTTTACTCAGTCTGTATCGGACTTGCAAGCTTCCTTAAAAAGAAGAAAGAAAGATTTTTGATAATGCAAAGCATCTATTCCTGTATCACTAAATTGCTGTTGAAGAAGCAGGAAGTAAATCTAAGCAGAAGAAGCCTCAGTGGGACAGGGAAGAAACCCAAAGATTATCAATTTCAGTTGTAGAAGTGAAGTACTTTACACATCAGATTCACTAAATCATAGATCTGTGAGTCTTGAAATCAACTGGCAAAACTTCTCTGTATTTTGTCCTTAAGAGAAAGAATCATAAAGCATTTATCCTATTTGTGTGAGAGGTAAAAGTGGAGAAGAGATAAGAATTGTTGTATCTCAGCTTCCCCATCTTTTCAATCTTGAACCTTTCCAAGTGTCTGCCTTATGGTACATCATAAATAAAGACATGAGGATACAAGCCAATGAAGCAACAAGAGACTGAACATCAAGGAAAAAGTCATGTTAATAATTCAAGCAAGTTGTACCATAAACTACAGATGTCATCTAAAAACGCCTATAACTTAAGCCACCAAAAGGAAAAAAAAAAGTTGTTTTCTGGACAATTAACAATGCTGTGCACTCTCCAATTGGCAAAGCATTTGTGTGACATATTTTTTTCAAATGATCATTTTTAATTTTAAGAAATGAATCATGGCATGTTCTGTCCAAAGGAAGGAAAGCTGATTCTGAATATTATACACTATAGGTTGCTCTAGCTGTTTACATGCACTAAAGCAATTTGATTCATACACAAACACAGACATCTTGAGGATAAAATAATGATACTGTAGAAGAAATGTAGATGATTTATAACTTCTTTATATATATTTTTTTCTTTAAGAAAGAGAACATGCAATTTCCTACTTGTAAAACAGTAACGAAACCACTAGCATATGATGATACTATAACAGATCAAGAACAGAAAACCTGCAGCCTACCAAATATAATTGAACTGTAGCTCAAATAGGATGACTGTAATTGGAAGAATCTGGAATCCAATCACATCAAAAAGGCTACAGGTGTCCTATGACCAAAGTGTAAAAAAGTCATAGCTTTATCACAGCTTTGATAAAGTTACGCACTGTAAACAGAGACTGTATTGTGCCTCATCTTTAAAGTTGAGTCGTCATGTTTGTACTTTAAAAATCACAGAAAGCTCATTCTGACAATTTTAATCCTTATAATTGTATAAATTCAAAAGTAAATGTAGGGAAATAAAAAAGTGTAATGTTTCAATCATATTTTTTTTAAAAAATGCCTGTCTTAATTATCTGAATACATTGAAAAATATATTCATACAATTAAAGCGTCAATTCATTTGTTAACCATAAACCATAACAATCAGAATAAAAACAAGACATAGAATTCCATAAAAACTTTGAAATATCATTTATGCGGACCATTTATAAACTCCAGGATTGCGATATAAAATTACAGTTTATTAAAGTACAATTATGCAAACCCTAATTATACAGCTGTTAAGCAAAATTGTGCATAACATTGATCAAAACTTCCTTATACCTACAACTAAGAGAGCTACAAATAATATTTTCAGACCAAATATCTTAAAAGTAATTTTTTAATAAAGTTAAATAAATGAAAACCACCTTACATTATTAAAGGAATGTTTTGTTTTCTAATATAGTAATGTTTTTTAAACTAAATAGTCTGAAAAAAACATGTGCTCTAAAATATCTTTTAATTATACTAGCTCTGGCACATAAAAACAAGTAAGTAAATAAGCAAGCAAGGGGAGGGGGGAATCACCCATTAATTACAGCCTAGCCCTACACCAATTTGCCAATACACAGTTTCCTTACTAAGCATTTTTTTTTAAAGTAGTAGGGTTTTCCTTTGAATAAATATGTAAAGGATTGTACTTGATTGATAATGAAATTGACTCCTGAAACAGCTGACTCCTTTAAAAAAAATGCTGTTTGAAAATCTACTGAAATGTGATTCAGAGTTTCTCAAAGGGTTTCCTGTGCTATGAAATAAATTTCTGCTTCTCTGTTTATTTTCAGGGGGCTCAAGGATTTTATCCTCTCTGTCTGTTGGTGATATTTTTGTGCTTCCTTTAGAGATGGCAAGAGATGCCATTGCTACCTTCCCTAGCTGCCTATATAAAACATAACATAACAAAAACAAACAAAAACACAACATAACCCTCCTGGGACAAGCTTCCTTCTTATGATCTCTTTTGGGATTTATGGAACCTTGGATGCTGAACACCATTACTGAGACAATAGTACTGAAATTCAGGGCATTCACATATACCACTTGCCCATCTCACAGTTAAATATATAATGTTGTAAGAAATCCATATTCCATCCTTGGGAATTTCACTGAAGCAATCTTGTTGGAAAGTTATATTGAAAGAAAAACTCAAATTCTGTCATCAAATTGAATTAAGATCTACGTAAAGCACTATTCTAAGATACAATAAGCAAAGTCACCTTGAACAAAATTGACCCCTGGAGGCCCGATGTAATATAAAATTACAATCATAGTTAAGTTATCACAATCAATAATCTTCTTTCATCTTTTCCTATATTATCTATTCTTTTATAATATTCTTTGCAAAGAGTAATGGTTTCATTAACTATTTATTACAGAACAAGTAACAAATACTGCACCAAATGACTTTGTTTTGCGTATTCATGAATTCAGATGTTCTAAATGACTAGAGTTCTATAAGACATTATGCTTCTAATAAGAAAATGCATATAATTTATTTTAATTTTTAGATCATTTATATCACATAATGTAATTAAAGCAATCTTCAAATTATGGCTTTGGGAGTTTTTGTTCCAGTCATCAGTTGGTTTGTCAACCTGCCTTTGGCACCATATCTTTCAGCATATTACAATTCATGAAATATGCATTGCTGCCAAGTTATTAGTCAAATGGCTTCTAAGAATAATTACCAGTTTATTTTGCAGCTTTTTTAATTAAATATGAAATCAATAAGTGTACTTCAAGATTTTCTACCTAGGGTTGGTCAACTTGCAAAGCTGTTTCATCCGGCTGTTGCATATTTAATCAAAGGCAAGGTAAATATTTTGCCCACAGCTTCATGCAAAAGGGGAAAAATGTTTGCAAAGGTGTGAATTTTAAATCTCTATTGTGTAATGTTTCATCTTTGTTTGAATTTTGTACCAAAGCAAACTAACAGCTGTTCATAGAATAACTGAATATGAATGAGCAAATCTGTTAATTTCTCTTTTACTCAGTTTCTCATCCTCTTACCTCTAACTTTGCTCAATCCTCTTTACAATCAAAGGAGGAGGTCGATCATACAAAAACAAACAAGAACAAAGTCCTAGCACCCACAGCCTTGCCCCCTCAAAAATTCCTACGTATTTGTGCACGTTGTCCTTATGTATGCATAATTGTATATCGGCATGCACATATTTCTAGCCATATGCATTGTTTCCTAGTATTTATGATGAGCCACGGTGGAGCAGTGGTTAGAGTGCAGTAATGTAGGCTACTTCTGCTGATTACCGGCAGCCAGCAGTTTGGCAGATCAAATCTCACCGGCTCAAGGTTGACTCAATCTTCCATCTTTCCGAGGTGGGTAAAAAGAGGGTCCAGGTTGTCGTTGGGGGCAATATGCTGACTCTGTAAACTGCTTAGAGAGGGCTGTAAAGCGGTATATAAGTCTAAGTGCTATTGCTATTGTTATTTATTTCTTCTCCTAAATATTGGATTTATACACACACACACAGTACATACACACACACACACACACACACACAGTGTGTGTGTGTGTATGTCTATATGTAGATACAGTATAGTTGTGTTTATTTTTGTTTAATGCAAGACTTTTTGTGTATTTGTATCCAGCTGTAAATATTTATTTATTTATTTATTTATTTATTTATTTATTTATTTATTTATTTATTTATTTATTTATTTAATCAAATTTTGAAATTTTTCTTATCTCTAACAGAGGGACTCTGATACTCTAATCCTTATCTTCTGGCTTGCTAACAAAGAGGTGTGGCTGAGATTGGCTACATCTGCACTTCTTAAACCCTTTCCTAGAAATGTGAATGGGTGCATTTTACATGTTACTATAGTGTTTTTATGGGTGCACCTTGGGTGAAAAGAGGACAATAACTCTAATAACTGTGTTTTTGCTTTTAGATCAGTTGTGCATTTCCCTTTTGTCAAAATAATGAAAGCTATATTACAATAAATTCAACACATTTCTTGCAGACATACATACATACATACATACATACCTAATACATACATACTACAAAAGGGTGGAGTTGTGTGGAATTGATGCAGCACTACTTTATTATTATTATTTTTATGCACCTCCCCTTGTCCCAACTCTCCATGAATGCTGCTGACATACTTGGTAAAATTTAATTTCAATAAAGTATTTGCATTTTATTTCTCTGTACCTATATCAAGATTCTAAATGTAAAGGTCATGCAATGTGTAATATATAATCTCCCATCTCTCCTATACTTCTTTTGTTTGCAGAAGTCTTTCTTGCTTTTTGACAACCTTTACCTGAGAACTAAAGATACTATATAAAAAGTGACTATAGGGCCAGGGGAAAAAAAAATGAGTAGAGCTGAAATGAATTATGCTTTATTTAATCGAACAGAAACAATGTTACATTAAAATCTAGTTAATGAAATTAACCCCCTTCATTAATTCCCCATTTTGTCATTATTAAAAATCATAATGTGATAACAATAGAGTGCCATACCCCAACATAGATGGTTGCTCTCTAGGTCCAACATGATGCTACCAACACCGGCAGGATAAGCTATTTTATACAAACAGGGAGAAACCCCAAATTCACTAGCACGGATAATATTACCTAGTCTCGTAATGAAATCTCTTCAAGTGAACAACTTAGAGAGTATCAAGGTCTCCATATTTCAACCTTGAGCTACAGATATTCTCTCCTATTGGAAGTAATAGGACAATATAATCTATGTCTAGCTGGTAGTAGGACCTAATAAGTTCAAGGACACTGAATGCTAGATAAATTG